AAAAAAAAAAAGAAGAAGAAGCTATTTGTAAAATGTCTATTTGTTTATCAGATGATAGGAGAAACTTTACCAGCCTTATAATTTCAGAACTGTGTTTTCACAAGAAAAGGTAGGAATATCCAATGATTCATATGAATCATATCAGAAGATTTTAACCCTCACTTCAAAAAGCAAATAATTCCCAAGAAATATTCTTCAAATAGATTATCCATCCACATAACTGCTGTCTACTCACTAGCCAGTAACATCTCTGATCCTTTTTCTTAAAGAGAGTGATGTATCTGGTCAGTCATAGAAGTAATTCCTTAAAAACTTAAGAATTTATGTTATCTAAGTTGAAGATTTACCAATGCTTCAAACCAGAGAATTATTTTTTAAAAGTCACATTTAACTTCAAAAACTAAACATTATCCCATACCTGACAAATAGCGAATCCAAAACCACTGGCAGAAATATTAATGTCCATTGGCTGCAGCACAGCAAGCTGAATAAAGGTGAAAAAAGAAAAGGAAATGAGGCTCATTTTCCATATCTCGATGCTTCCAAAATGGACAGGAAGTCAGTGCTATCCCTTATAGGCCTGGAAGTGATTACTAGGAAGCACCAACAGCTTTGCTTGGTCTCACACATGGAAATCTGGGAGGCCACCAGGTGAGGGAGGTGAAGGAAGAGGTCAGGCTCGCACCTCCCTTGGCTCCCTCACCTCTGCCCGTCAGGAGAACCTATTAGAGCTCCTGACAGCTCTGTCCTCCTGTTGGAAGGATCAAAGACGAGAAACCAGTGTCCGAGCCCAGTCCTCTGGCCTTCCCCAGAGCACAGAGATGTGCCCACACTGACTGTGCCAACTTTATTCCTCTTTTCTCGTGCCATTACCCCTCTTTCTCAGTTTCTACCCTAGAAGCTACAACCTTCATCCACTATCCTCAACTTCCCACAAGGTTAAGCAAGGGAATAAAATGAAGAACTAGCGTATTCTTGTACTCCATTTAAAGTAAGAATTCTACTACCGGTTCTACGGACTCTCCTAAGTAGAAGACATGTAGAGTAGCAGAATAGTCTTTGGAACCGTGAGTTGGAATTCTTGCTCTGTTACTGTTACTAGTAACATAATCTTAAACATGTACTTGACCTCACTCAGCCTCAGTCTTACCATGTGCACGATGGGGACCCAACAGCATTCATAAAGAACACCGTTTCCCAGTGTGCCACTGCCCATGTTTTCTCTTTTTCCACCAATCCTTCCAAAGTTCTCATCCCCTCCACCCTTCCAGAGCACAGCAAACCCAACCAAAAGAAAGCGCCATTTTCTCTCTAAGGGACTCTGGGAATGAGTCTTTATGGAAGTCAGCAGATTACTAACACAGCAGGATTCCAGCATAAAGAATCATCTGCACCAATTTCTGAATAATCACCCCTTGTCCACACCTCTGCTGTCTGAAGGAGAAAGCGGTTGTGTGCGTCAATCAGAAACTTTACAGGACTTGGTGAGCTTGGCCCCATCACAGTCACTTGGATATCTGTCCTCTCTGTATTCATTAGGGCTGCAAATTCAGACAGGGCTTTCAAGGCCACAATGGTGTCCTGTCGAAGGGAGAGAAACATGCGCATGTAAATATATGTCAAGTCCTCCGAAGAGCGAACTCAGCAGGAAGCCCGCTGTGCATCCATCCTCCTTCTTAGAGAGTAAAACGTTCCCGGACACAACTCAGAATCTCCTTGGCCTGAATACAGGAGAGGCTCAGAAAATGCTCGCTGAACAGAACCCAGAATCTATTCTTGTATCCGTTACCACAAGTGAAAAGCAGCTAGTACAGGTGGGGAATGGATCTATTGCATATAAATATCACATAGGAAGTTCATCACAACTATGAGAAAAGGTAAAACTAGTGACATCAACCTCTGACTTGAGTTACTAAACTTTTAAACTGCCATGTAATTTTATGAAGTAGTGAAAATAAAGCAACCACACACTTTCTAAGATATTTGCACACACACACACACACACACACACATATATGCATACACTGTAATTTAAGTGCGGGGGGAATCGATCATCTCTCACCTGAGTAGATGCAAAACCTCCCAAGCTATTTCTCTGGCTGCTGAGCCACTTCATAATCGGGATTCCCTCGGAAAGCTGAAATTGCCGGAAGTGGGAGAGCAGCGTGTAGGCGGCAACTTCGATGTCCAGGGAACGTGGCTGCCAAGAGTCAGAAAGTTTGGACGCTGACGACACCCAGAATCGTGTGCCTTCTGCAAGGGTAAGTGGTGACATTCCAATCAATTACCATTAAAAAAAAAGTACATTTTCATTCTGTTAAACATCTACACCCTGGTCCAAGTTCTACTTGACTAGCATAAAAATACATATATTTTTATACAGGTATACAGAGGGTGCCAAGGAAATGTATACACAAGAAAGGAAAAAATCATGTTAAATTTGTAATACTTAAGTCATGTTTGATTCCAGCAGTTGTAAGAGATACAAGATTCAATACCCAAGATGACAAATGCTATCAGCACATAGTAAGTATTACAACTGAAATAGTTTCTTTCCTTTATTAAAATGCATATACCTTTTGTGAGCACCCTCAGTATATACTTACACCAAGCAAGTATGTGTGTATTTATACGTGCACACATGTACATAAACATGTACCTATATCCCACTTTTTGAACTATTACAAGTTAAATATTCCTTATTTATATGCTTGGCACCAGAAGTGTGTCAGATTTCTGGGTTGTTTTTTCCAAATTTTGGAATATTTGCAGAATATATACATTCTAAAATCTGAAATGCTCCAAAGTGTAAAACTTTTTGAGTGAGCGCCGATGTAACACTCAAAGGAAATGACCATTTGACGTTCAACCTGCACTCCTTGTAAATTTTCACCCCTTTACTACTGCTTATATTTGAGGACTTTGGACAAAAATATTTTTTCCCAAGAGAATTCCATACATTTGACTTAAGACTGAACAGCTAAAAGTAAAAGATAAAACATGCTACGGTCCAGAAGATAATTACATTCATTATCTGACCGGACCATCCCCAAAATATTTTAGGACACAGTGGAAAGAATCCTGTTCTGCAAACCTGCCACTAACTGACTTCAGTGTTCCAGAAACTTCTTCTCTTTTCATTTTCTGAAAGTTGGTGCTGTCAGAGCAAAATCCAGGCTCCCCTGAGAACAATGAGGGGCACTGGCCTCCTCAAACAACCATCCCAGAGATAATCCTGGTATTGCCCCAAAGGACCATCCTACTTGGTGCCCCTCTCAAATATTACTGTTCGGATGCTGATTACACTTCGGTGGAATGTGAAATGACTGCCACTGAGGCATGCAGAGACTAAGGTCAAGGACAGCTTCTGCCTCTGTGCAAGGATCTTCTAGCCCCCAGCACTGGAATTCACAATAAGAACTAAATCTAACTTTCTTTCCATAATAACATAATGTTTTGTACAGGCTCAGACATCTCTAAGCACTTTCTGTAGCTATCCCTTCTTGAATAAATGAAACTTTGAAGTTAAATTATTTCTGCCCTCCTACATACACAGATCCCCGAGTACTTTATAGAGGCCACTGGGTAGTAATGACAGCTCTATTTTTTGTCCTACTGTAGGACAAATAATAATCCTCATTCAAAAGTAAAATCATACACGCAGCTACCTAGCTAGCAACTTTTTCCGATATCTGCATTTCTTCCGAGTTGCCTGTTAGTGCACGTGTTTTGAGCCTACGGAGCAGGCACCACCCACTCTCTCAATGCCCACAGCAAGCCTAACTTTGAAGTTAGTCCCACTTTACAGCTGGGGAAAGTGAAGCGGATAAGCGTGAGTTGCAAAACCAGAATTTGAATCCAAGTTGCTCCAGAGCCCAAGGTCATAGCAAACACAAAAGGCCAGGAATGGTATCAGACACTCAAAGGGAACCCAACACAGACAGAGCACAACAAACGTCAGAGAAAGAGACCTCTGAGCCCGGAAATTCTATTTAAAAAATTCCTGAAGAAACTAGAAGCACTTGGCCACGTAAGGCCTATCCTAGCCTCATTCCGTGCTTCATTATTCATGTCACTCAAATGATGCAAATGTCATCAAATTACAAAATTATCAACTACAAAATCTTCTCATGTACTTTACATATTTCATAATCACAAGAGTCTGACCCCCTCAACGGCCCCGCCCGTTACCTTCGTGTTCTGCTCTCTGAGTCAGCACATTCAAGGCTTCCTGCGCTTTAGGACTCCCCACGGATGACAGTGCATACGTTATAAGAGCTAGGGTATAATTGTCTGAAATTCCTCTACTGAATTCAGCCTCCAAGAAGTTGATAGAATCTTGTACATCAATATTAGGCTTGGAAGAAGGAAAAAAAAAATATATATATATATATATAACTATTCAAAATAACCCATTATCACATATTTAAACAAAAAATACTTCAAAACATTGATTTAAAAAAAAATTTGTGTCTATTAAACAATGGAAATTAACCTAAGCAATGGAAATTAACAATAACCATTGACATTTAAAGATCTGCCATGCATTTTGAAAATAAAGCTGAGCAAAGCAGCTCACATCTGCAATCCTAGCCCTCTAGGAGGCTGAGGCAGGAGGATGTGCTTGAGCTCAGGAGTTCAAGACCAGCCTGAGCAAGAGCAAGATCCCGCCTCTACTAAAAATAGAAAAATTAAAAATTAACCAGGAGGCTGAGGCAGAAGGATCACTTAAGCCCAGGAGTTCGAGGTTGCAGTGAGCTATGATGATGCCACTGCACTCTACCTGGGGTGACGGAGTGAGACAGAGGATGGAAGGGAGGGACGGAGGGAGGGAGGGAGAGAAGGAAGGAAAGATACCACTTTTCAGCTTTCATAAGTAAACAGGCACACCATCCCTTAGAAGAAACAAGAAACTTCTTTACCAGTGTCTCTCCCACTGAATATCATAAACTCAGATAAGAGCAAAAATATACTATGAGGAAGATATTTCTCCTTTGTGACCTTGGGTGCTGACACTCTAAATTCAAGAAGAAGATTATCATCTATGTGCTTAGTACTGGGCCAGGAAAATAGCAGGGAGCATAATAAAGAGGAGGGTGGTTCTTGATATTGTGAAATGCGGTCAGCAGTAAAGGCATCAATCCCCAGGACGGCTCTGGAGAAAAATCAAGCTGATTGGTATAACCGTCCATGAGCCCCCATTCTCATCCAGGCCTCCATGCCATTTAACAGGTCTTTCAGAGTGTGGGTATAGCTAGCACTAAATTAACAGACATTGTAATTGGTCCATGGTATTTTAAAAATACAATCCTTCGGCTCAGCACCTGTGGCTCAAGTGGCTAAGGTGCCAGCCACATACACCTAAGGTGGCGGGTTTGAATCCAGCC